CTAAACAATTAAAGAAAAAAAATTGTAAGGCGTAATTTTTGTGGCGTATCAAGGTGGAGGTTGGTAGGGCCAAATGTTTTTGTGGATTTCAGATTTATAAAACTTTGTATCATTTTGGTATCGTTAACTGATGACACATTAAATATTTTTTTAAAGAATTAACTTTTTATAACGGAGTCACTATAACGAGAAAAAATAAACATTTATGCAGTGGCACATCATACAGTAACCTTAGAGCTGAGTTTTTGTGAAACAGCAAATTGAATGTTCAGATATTTTGGTTGAATTAAAAACACAGCTATAAATAATAATTTTGCGCATGACTCAATCTTTACAAATATTTTATCTTGATAAAAAAACTCTGCATATAAGGATAATCACATTTCATTGAAGACTCACAAAGAGTAAGTGTTTTGCTTTGCACTAAATAAACAGCTTTTTCAAGACCTTCTTTATTATAACTGTTGTATGCTTTGTAAATTTTTCCATGCCTGACACATCTATTGCTTCTTTTATATTCTCTTACCATTTATTATATGCTAATTTTATATATATATATATATATATATATACATATATATATATATATATATATATATATACATATATATATATATATATATATATATATATATATATATATATATATATATATATATATATATATGTATATATATATATATATATATATATATATATATATATATATATATATATATATATATTATATATATATATATATATATATATATATATTAGGGTGGGTCATAAAATTTTTTTTTAGAGTTGCTAACCTGGCTATGGTCTAGAAAGTTGTTTTTTTACTTACTTGAAGATTTTAAAATTTTAACTAAAATTCTTTTACGCATGTAATCACACTTAAAGCGAGCATAAACGCTTTTTCACGTATTGTACGCATCAAAACTGTGTAAAAAAATATTTCTAACCAAATGGAACATTTTGACCCAAAAAACTGTTTTTGCAACGCATAATATGTTTATTTAAAAATTCTGTTGAACTTTGTTGAGTTTTTGTCGATTTTTCTCATCCCGAGTGACTATGCAGAACTTCTCTTCAGCGCGAAGTCTTTTATACATTTCTGGCTTACCCCTTCACATTTCGGACATTCCCGGTTAACTAACTTTTAGCCCCTTCTTTCTAAAAAGAAAACGATTTTTTACTGCGGAAAAACAATCAAAGAAATATTATAGAGTTATAATAGTAATAAAGCTCAGCATAAACATGGAACAACCATATGTTTGTATTTTACATTTGTTTAAAACAATTCAGAAAAGTAATACAAAGTAATATTTTCCATTCGCCAGACTCTAATTGAATTTGATGATTTGCAACAACTAAATCTAATGTGATGGCTTTATCTTTCTTTGGCTATTTTAAACAGTTATACAGGGTGTTCAAATTCGAATAACTGTTTTAAGTTTGCGCCATTTTTAGTACAAAAATGGTGCCTGTTTATTGACATCTATCAAGTATAAATATTGCGGTTAGTAAATATGGAGAAATAGACGTTTTAGGTTTAAAACGTATATTTCTCCATATTTACTAACCTAATTAAGTTTAGTGAAAATTATGCAGAATTTGAAGGAAAATTTTGTACAATATATGGAAGAATTTTTGTACAATTCGAAATATTGCGAATAAATTTGAGGAAAATGGTTCAATTAAAGATCTAAAAAAAAAATTAGGGGTTGTTCGTAGGGGTTGTTCCCTATAAAATATTACTGCTAAAATGTTAGCGAAGCGCCAAACACATCAGTTCAATTTGTTTTATGGCTTATTGCTGTAAAATTGTTCACAGCAAACAGATATAATATATATATAGGGGAGAGTCGGGTAATTGCGAACGTGGGCTAACTTCGATCAAGGTCGTTATGGTATGTTAGAAACAGATAGTTGATAACCTTATTTTTTTCTGGCAAGAGTGGGTTCCATGCTCAGTTCCACACAAGTATATATATGCATAAATACATATGCATATATATATTTATAAATTGTATAATGCATATATATTTTTATATATTATATAATACTTACATATGTGTGTGTAAACACACACACACACAATTTTACAAAACAAAATTTTAAATATATATATAATAGAATATATATATATATATATATATATATATATATATATATATATATATATATATATATATATATATATATATATTGTATATATGTATATATATATATATATGTATATATGTATATATATATATATATGTATATATGTATATATGTATGTATATATATATATATATATATATATATATATATATATATATATATATATATATATATATATATATATATATATATATATATATATATATATATATATATGTATATATATATGTGTGTATATATTGTATATATGTATATATATATATGTATATATGTATATATATATATATAAATATATATATATATATATATACACATATATACAATATATATATATATACATACATATATATATATATATATATATATATATATATATATATATATATATATATATACATATATATGTGTATATATATATATATATATATATATATATATATATATATATATATATATATATATATATATATATATATATATTACTTAAAATATGTAAAACATGTTAAAACACCTAATAGTATTTTAGCCCGTAGTAGTCGTTCGGATACCATGAAAATGCAACTTTCATAAATATATAGTCTTTACTATCTTTAGCATTTTCATTGTTTCCTCATGAAGTCCAATCTTTTGACAGTATTATCAGTCAAATAAGATCTTCAAGACATTTGTATATATATATACATATATATATATATATATATATATATATATATATATATATATATATATATATATATATATATATATATATATATATATATATATATATATATATATATATATATATATATATATATATATATATATATACATAATATATATATATATATATATATATATATATATATATATATATATATATATATATATATATATATATATATGCATATAGATATTGTTCTTTTTATTACATTTTAAATAAGCATTTGGTTACAATATTTGAAATACAAATATATAATAATAAAAAATTTATATGTATATAATGATCGTTGTTATTCCTTTCTTTGAATCGAAAAGAAAGTCACTTTTAGTGAGCAATATGTCGTTTCAACAAATATATTTTATTTTAAAGCAAATAAATGCCGCTATTTAACATTGACAATAATTATTATTTTAATAGTCAAACCAAAAAATTTAATTTAATTTGTCATAAATCATAAAAAGAATAGTTGACAAAGTTTATACAGCCAGTAAAACCACTTGAAGCCATATGGCTACTGTGGCGCTAAAGTGTTAAGAAAAGGACAACAAAATTGGAATCACTTCACGGCGAGTTGATGAACACAGCCCACTTCCACGAAGACGAGTCAAAGGGTTTTGAGGTGAAAGTATTTAATATTGCTCTTGACAAGCTGCTCCAGCAGATAAGACACAGAATGGATACAGTTTAATAGACGACGGATATGTTTACGTTCATATGGTGTTCTCCACTTTTTGTAATTGTATTAAAAATGCGAAAAAAAAAGTGTTTTCAAATAATTTTTTTCCATTTTTGAGAAAAAAAAAATTTTTTAAAAAAAGAGTGTTTTTTCAAACGGCTTAAATATAAATTTTATTGACTGTTTGTTTTTGCGGCTACTTTTATCCTAAACAAAATAAATCTAAAAAAAAATTGTAACAGAAATTACTCATTTACCAAAAGGATAAAGCGGAATAAAATGTTAAAATAACATTTTATGTTTTAAGAACTAAATCCTGTTATATTTGTCTCATTAAAATTTCAGCAAAGGTTGCAAACTTGGAAGTAAACAAACTCAGAAACAAACTTGAAGAATACCTAATTTTAATTATTAAAACCTGGGAACAAAAACCAATTTTTTCCCATTGCAATTCAAAACATGAGAGTAAAAAGTTACAAAAAATTTTTCACTACCCTAAATCAAGTTTGTTTTTATCAATAGGTTTTAAATTTTGATTATTTTTCTTTCAGTGTTTAAAAACTATGATCATGTAAAGCTTGTAACCCCTAAAATTCATAATTTTTTAACACTTAGAGATTACACTATAAAATTTAATATTTATTGATTAGTTACTAAAAGCTGTTTAGGTATCTAAAAGTAGTAAGCTAAAGGCCTCCGTTACCGTAAAAGAAAAAAATGGAAGGAAGGTTGAATTTTACGCAATAAATTAATCTTTTTAAAACTCGGTATGATTGAGACTTTATTTAAAAAAATTTTGCCATATTTAGTCATCAATGAAAATTATTTCTTTACGGTTTCTATTATTTTCTAATAACAAAACAATATCTTATTTATTCAACAACACCCGTTCTCAATTTTTTTAGAAATTAATTTAAGAATGTTAGAGTTTTTTTCTTAAAATTTTTATTTTTATTCAACTAGTTATGTGTAAACTAACCAAATTAAGTTTTAAAATGGTATTTCATTTCACTGTGGTGCTTTTTATTTATTTACATTAAAAAATATATAAAAAGTATATTAAATAAAGTTATTATTTACGATGTACAAGATTTATTTATCAAAGGACGTAAGTAGAAGTGAACTAATCAGTTTTAAAAAGATTATTTTAAATACCTCAAGTATTTTGTGGTCAACAACGACGACAACGTACGTTAATACAAACTAGGAAGTGTAAAAAGGTTTACTAAACAATATATTATTAAAATAAAGTTTTTAATTTATTTTACATAGAAGTTACATTTTTTTAAATAATATGTTTTTATGTTTTTTTGTATTGTCTTTTTTTTACAGTTAAGTAATTGTTTTTATTATGGTTAAGAAGTTGTGTTATAAACACCCTGAATCAATTGTCTTGCACGGATGCGGTTTAATAATGCATATAATAGTAATTTGAAATACGCCTTGAAAATTTTGAATAAAAATTAAGCGGCTATTTGATGTCAACACCTTAGATAAAAAAGTTTGAAAAGTAAAACCTAATTCATTTTTTTAAATGTTGCTTTAACTTATCGTAGACATTACTTTTGTAAATAAAGCACTCTAGCCTATTTTTTAACGTAACGGTAAACATTATTTATACAATATGAAACATTGTTTAACGTAATTTTTATTTTGCTTTCTTTTGTATTTATTCACACAGCTGCAATTGCTAGCAATTATTTTAAAATCTAATAAAATTCTATTTTGTATTAAGAAAACACATTTTTAGATTATATAAAATATGGAACTCTCTTGCGGGATGAAGTGTTTGAAGTATCTTCTGTTTGCTTTTAATTTCGTATTTTGGGTGAGAATTTTAGGTTTTTACTTGAAATCAATTAAGTTTATTTAATATTTTTTCTGAATACTTATTATTATTATTTTTATGGTTTGCATATTTAAAAATATTATTATTGGGCAGGTTTGCGGAATCGTAGTGTTAGGAGTTGGTATATACAGTCGTATAAAAGCTAAAGACTGGAGTAGTATACTTGGCAATGATGACTACGTTTTGAGCGTAGCAAACCTTTTGATAGCCTCTGGTGCAATTGTAATGGTAATTGGATTTCTTGGTTGTTGTGGCGCAATGAAAGAAAGTAAAACTATGTTAGCATCAGTAAGTAACTTACTATTGATACGTATTTGATACATATTTGCTACGTATTTATACCAACGTTTTGCACAATATCAACAACTTCATTGATTTTTTTACATGTTTTAGTATGCGGTTCTGTTGATTCTCATCTTTTTAATGGAGATTGCTGCTGGTATTTACGCATATGTGAAGAAAGATAAAGTGTTAAAAAATGTCGCAACAAACACCAAGAATTCCGTTATTAATGAATATGGAGGTTCAACTGTTGCTCAGAAAGGGTTTACTGACAGCGTAGATTACGTACAAAAACAGGTAAGCATGACACTTTTTTTTTTTGTAAAAAAAACCTACTTTATGTTCAAGCAAAACTTCATGCAAAAAAAAATTAAGATTTTTTATTTTGTATATACTTCCCATTTTAGCTAGAATGTTGCGGTGCAGAAACACCAATGGATTGGAGCTCATCTAGTTGGTATAAAAAAAGTAAACCTAAAAATGAGTCAACTCCACACGCAGTAGTACCAAATAGTTGCTGTGCTAAAAATGTGCCTAGTTGCAATATTGCGAAAGATATTCCTTCTTTACCTAACACTACTTATTCTGAGGTATGCATTACTAACTAAACCATTTAAAATTATTGAAAATAAAATGATTTTAATATTTATTGTTATTCTCCAAATAAATTTTTTTAGGGTTGTATTGCAAAAGGGAAAGTATTTGTAAATGGTCATATTTTAGAAATTGGAGGTGTTGGAGTTGGCATAGCTTTCATACAGGTGAAAAGAATTTTTTTATTTTTTTTGCATTACTTAAATAAGATTATCATATGCCCTTCTGAATATGGCTTTTTACATAACCTATTTTTTTTTTTTTTTTTTATAGATACTTGGAATTTTTTTCGCTATAATGCTATGCAGAAACCTTGGATACCAAAAAGTTAATTAATTAGCATCATAAATATAAATGTAATCTCTTCGATCACATCTTTCACATTTTAGTTAAAATATTCTTTATTAACTAAAATGACGTTTGTAGTTTATTGTAAAATTTTGAAAAATCGCAGAAATTTTTTTAATCTATAGTCCGTACCCTACTCGACGCAATTCAAAAATAATTGCTTTTTGTTATTTTGATAAGAAAAAAAGTTAAACTTGAAAGCAAAGCGATTAGTAGCTATACTGATAATTTTAAGGTGATTTAATTGAAGTATACTTGCCAACAAACAAATAAAAAAAGTAGCAACCACTTGCAACGGGCGTTTAATTCTATTTGTTTATAAATTTAGCAAAGTTTTTGTAAAATCTAGTTTCTGTAAAAATAGAACCAACTATAAGTTTAAGTAAAAAACACGACAACTTTTAAAAATTATTTTACAAACATTAAACTTTCAAATATTGTTCAAATCCGATTTAATTTCAAAGCATATTTTAAAATCCAATATTATTTTGATGTCGATTTTACTCATCTCAAAATGATAACTTATTGTTTTCCTCGATTTATTAAAATTTTATTTTGTAACAGCTTTGAATGGTTTTACTAATCTTATTATTATTAGGCTTTGTAATTATTTTTATTGTATAGCAAAACAGTGTTATAACGTTCGGATAAGGGAGATAGGAATAGCTCAAATATATGTTCCTTACTTTTTTAGATAATGATTTTTTAAAAGCTTGTTTATACACATTCATGAATACATAGTTTTTTTTATTATTATGTTTTTTTTTGTGTCATTTATTTAGTCACTATATAAACTTATTACATTCATTTAACTTAGATTTGTAAATACAGCTATATTTATCCGTATACATTTATAAATAAGATAAAACTTATAATAATGTCAGAACCAAGTAAAAGATTGCAGTCTTATCATCAGGCCTCTTTTGTTCGCAACTTTACGGTAAGTTTTTGCATGAGATTAAAAAAAATTTCAATAATTTTGATATTAAAACAAAAAAATTAAAAACAATGCCATATATGTTACAATCTCATAAATTATTATTTGTATTAAAAAATTACAATATAATCATTTGTAGCCATTCGAATGGGATTAATTACTTTTATTGATAATATAATCTTTAAAAATAGGAGTACGTCACTTAAGTCAAAAAAGTATTACTTTGAAGGAATTTAATGACTTTTTTCTATTTTAAAAAAATTCTTAAGTGCCCAAACAAGTTATGTTTATTTATAAAAAAACATAAGAAATTTAATTTTTTTTAATTTGAATTTTTATACTATATTTTTCTATACAATGTTCTTATATCCGAAGATATTGTTGGCTTAGCATAGGAACAGCTACAAATAGTCGTTAAGACTAATCCAAAGTAGCGTCCGTTATTGACCAACATTTTTGCTACTCAAGCGCTGAGTTGGCGGAAGCAGGATTTAAACTCGTATCTTACAACTGTCCGGGTTTGAACTTTTAGTTCGAACTGAGCTATCTAGCAACAAATAAGTTTTGAGTTTATTAAAATTACTAAAACAACTTATTTCTCGAGATTTTTTAAAAAAAAATTGTTTTGTGCCATAATACTTCCAGTTGAGAGGTTAATATTAACTTCATGAATCTGCTTAGTTTTTGCCGTTGTAAAAATTTATGGTTAAATAATATTTTACCGCAGATTTGAATAAATAGGCTCACCCACAGCCCATTTAGGGAAGCTGCGAATTTAGAGGGCTCATTTGCAAATTTAGGGGTCCTTTTGCAAATTTAGAGAGCCTTTTTTTTATAACAATGTTTAATGTTAAGATTTTGGAGCCCTTATGACAGGTTTGAAAGGAGTCTCGGACCAAGTAGCAACGGTACAGATATGTGTGTATATATATATATATATATATATATATATATATATATATATATATATATATATATATATATATATATATATATATATATATATATATATATGTATGTATGTATGTATGTATGTATGTATGTATATATGCAACTGCGGTGCATATATGTGGCGTTAAGGTGTACCGTTTCAGCCTTTTTTTTTTTTTTTGAGTTAAACTTACTATGTGAGGGTGTATAATGATTAAAAAATAATTATTGTAAAATTTTGGGATAATCAAACATCATTTAAGGGGAGTACAGTTACCTAATTTGAGTTAATTGTAGTTTTCGCGCCTACTTTTTAACATTTTTTGAGAATTTTTTTTTTTTTTTTTTTTGTATGTATTTAGGTGCTCCCAGAAGTCCTTACGGTCTTATTATGGAGCACTGCGGGAAAGCATTTAACAGGAAGTTCACGCCTCCTTCCGTACCAATGTCGCTTGTTGGGCTAGAGCTGGCGTCGAACCTCGGACCTCTGGGTTCTGAGCCAGAACTCTAACTACTGCGCCACGGCTGCTCAAGATTTCTCTGTCAGATTTCTCTGTCAAGATTTTTCTGTCACTTAAAAATTCATTCAATAGCTTTTAGTATGTTATTTTTCATTAAGTAAAGTATCACAGGTAAAAAAATGAGGCTAAAGGAAAAATATTTAGGGGTAGCACAGTATCAAGTTTAGTCATTTTGCCAATATAGTATCAGTTTTTAAATTCTCGCTGCAGCTTGTTGATCTGTCAGTAAGAATGCAATTGTAGACAAAATATAAAAGAAATACTAATTACCTCAATTTAAAAAAAATGTAACTACTGATTGGAAAATCACTGGTTCCTGTAGAAAAAACCTAAATCTTTTATTAAACTCATTATACTATATTTTTTCTTTATTTTTAGCAGGCTAAAGTTAAATCTTCTATAAAAAAAAAGGAAAAAATAAAGGTAATGCCCTTCTTTACTACAATATTTACCTAAATTTGATGCAATTTAGGTATACCTTCTAAACCAAATAACTTAGTAACTATGCAACAAAAAAACTTCAAATTTAGCCCAAATATTCATTATTAAAAAGTTAAAAACATTCACCAAAATTATTGAAATACCTTCAACCAATATTTTTTAAATATTTTTATTGTAATGACTATATATTTTAGATCATAAATGAAGGTTTTTCTTGCAGTGTTTGGGTCATAATTTCTAAAAAAAAATTATTTAAACCTTGATTTTGGTGAATGACATAGGTTAATATTAACTCAACATTCAATAAAAATTTCAGAGCTATAGCACAATTATTTTATGAGATATATTGCTTGATGTTGAAACAAAAATAAGAAAAACACATCATTGAGAAAAACGCAAAACAAAATAAATATTCATAAAAAAACATAGTTTAAAGTTTAATATCCATCAGGAAGATAAAAAGCTGTTACTTATTTTTTATTTTGAATGTCTATAAATCTTTTCTTAATCATCCTTTCTTAATTTTTAACCATCAACTAATGCTTTCTTTTTCAACATTCAAATACTTATTTCATCTTCATGCATTTGCAGAATTTCCTGAAATTAAACTTTACTTAGCTGTGTGATGATTATTTTTAAATTTATGTTTCTCTTTCTTTGACAATTGGATAGATTAATTACAAATATATTAATAAAAAATAAGAAACTTAATTTTTTTAGCCTCTTAATAATTTACAGAATTAAAAAAAAGCAGAACGATATAATATAAAAACAAATCACAAACTAGTGTTAAAACATTAAAACATAAGTTTGTAAAGAAGAAAATAACCGTTGCTAAGATGTAACTAAGGAAATTTTTGTATATGTAAAAGCACAAATAAACTACCTATAATTAAAAAATTTACAAAATATAAACACCCAGCATAAAAGAGTCGTAAATTCTAAACAAGAAACAGTTTTAAATTTGTTTTCTATTTTTTTGTTTTTTTATGACTTTTTTCCTATAGGAACCACCTTAACTTAATAATTTATAAAAATAGTTAATATACTAAAGTTACCCTACGGGCACTTTTTTTAAAAAATTACGTTCTAAATGTCTTTTAAACGTTTTTTAAACGTCTTTTAAAGATTTTTTAATTGAGAATGTTTAGAAGACGTTTAAAATACATTTATAATAAATTTGGAACGTAACTTTTAAAAACAAATGCCCGTAGGGTAACTTTTGTATATACTTACAAAAAAAACGGGAAGTTCCTATAAATTATTTCTGCATACATCCTGGTATATCAAAAATACTATTAACTTATTACTCTATATGTACTCTATTATGGCAACGGAATGTTATTAACTGCTATTTTTTACCAGAGTTTATTGATTTTTAAGCAAGCGTCTAATTCAGAACAGCTAGCAGTAATACTGTATTACTTCAGTTTTAAATTTTCTCAAAAAAAGTTTAGCTGTTATTTCAAAATTTTCACTAAAAGCTGATCTTTTAAAAAGGTATTTGCACCTCCGAGAAGTTGATAATATTAGTGGAAAAGGATCTCTTTAACTTGTGATGATTTTAACACAATTTTAATTGAGGTTTTCAAATATTTTGAGGGAGAACAAGAATTCATATCAAGCCTGATAGCAAATGTCACGACTACTTAAAAGTGTTTGTTTAATGGAAAAGTATGAAGAAAGTAGGCAAAAAATGCAGAGAGAAAACACGTGAAAAGTTTAAGACAATAAATTAGCTGTATAATAATTCACCATCCAAAGTCTACGAAATATTACAGGAATCTTGAATTTCAACTTGGAAAGAGAAGTGGCTGTTCTTACAAAATTAGCGGAAATATCCACTAGGGTGTCCTGTCTGTAGGAATCATTTTCAAAGTTATTCTTTATCCATGTGTTTATTACTTTATAATAATTTTTATATAATTACTTTCAAAGTTATTATTTATCCGTGTGTTTATTACGTAGTTATACCTAAATATGTGAAGAGCAGTCAGGACTCCTTGGTGATAAAGTCGGACAAATCTGACATAGGAGCCACATGTGTTAGAGGGTGAGGTTTTTCCCTTTCAAAATCATCAGATTGCGGACAATTGAAATCTAGCAGCTTCTGAGCTAGTCCACCTCTTTTCTTCAGCTCTAAATGTATATTTGCTATTTAAAGAATAACTAGCTGTTGGTAAGGTACCAACTGTAACGGACCAAGCTTGCATGGAGCAGCTTTCCCAGGAAACTGTACTTGGATATATATATATATATATATATATATATATATATATA